TGTGCAGGCAGCACTGGACAAGGTCAGTAGTGTTCTAAAATGAAGCAGGTAAGCAGGAGCCTAATATTTACTTTTTTTCCCAGACATTTGTTGAAAGAGCTGCAAGAAACAGAGACCCTTAAAACACAAAAGGTAAACTCGGATTTGGCAAATATTCTCTGTACAGAGAATGTTTGATATTCCGCAGGTATTACAGAGAGGAATCTTGTTTCAAGTGAGAAGATGGAATTCTATTTTCTACATTATTAAGCTTAAATCAACGTTTTCTTGGTGTAAATACCACCCCCTGCAATTATCTGTCTTACTGACATGCATATGGTTGTCAGTCACCTACTTAATTAACTTGTGTTGAAGCCTGACAGACAAGGTGAGCACTACCAGCATGTCATATGTAGCAGTGACTTGGCAGGAAACACTCCAAGGAAACATTTGCTTCAGTTAACATGAATACTTCTAGGTGCTTGTTTTTTCTTAATGTAGAGCTGTCTTGCCAAGGGACAAGCTGATCCCTGGTGCAACTCAGGAGTCTCTATATTCATACTGGGGCTGTACCCCCAAATGGTATTCTGGATTTACTCAGCTGGATTCTGCTGGAGTACTGTAATGCTTCTCGCTGCTGTTGGATAGAGAAAGACAGTTTGAGGAGAATTATGAATGGAAATATATTTAATAGAGAAGTTATTTGTCTAGCTTTCCTTGGTCACATTATCTTATAAATTTGAATCCTCATAAACCTTTGCAGAAGACCTAGGGACTTATAGAATCATAGAACGGTTTGGGTTGGAAGGGACCTTTAAAGATCATGTCAAACCCCTCTGCCATGGCCAGGGACATCTTTCACTAGATCAGGTTGCTCAAAGCCCTGTCCAGCCTGACCTTGAACACTTCCAATGATGGACAATCAACAACTTCTCTGGGCAACCTCTTCCAGTGTCTCATCACCCTCATCATAAAAAATTTCTTCCTTATATCCAATCTAAATCTACCCTCTTTCAGGTTAAAACATTGTCCCTTGTCCTGTCACTACACTTTTTTCCCTGGTAAAAAGTCTCTCTCCACCTATGTTATAAGCCCCCTTTATACCACAAAAGGCCACAATAAGGTCTTCCTGGAGCCTTCTCTTCTCCAGGCTAAACAACCCCAACTCTCTCATCCTTTCTTCATAGGAGAGGTCTTTCAGCTGGCTGATAATTTTTGTGGCCCTCCTTAGGACCTGCTCTAACAAGTCCATGTCTTTCTTGCACAGGGGACTCCAGAGCTGGATGGATGCAGTACTCCAGGTGGAGTCTCATGAGAGCAGAGTAGAAGGGCAGAATCACCTCCCTCGACCTGCTAGCCATGCTTCTTTTTATGCAATCCAGGATACGACTGGCTTTCTGAGCTGCAAGTAGACATTGTTGGCTCATGTCCAATTTTTCATCCACCAGTATTCCCAACCTCTTCTCTGCAGGGCTGCTCTCAATCCATTCATCCCCCAGTCTGCATTGATACTGAGGATTGCCCTGACCCAGGTGCAGGGCCTTGCACTTGGCTTTGTTGAACTTTGTGAGGTTCACATGGGCCCACGCCTCAAGCTTTTCAAGGTCCTTCTGGACGCCATCCCTTCCCTCAAGCGAATCAACTGCACCACTCAGCTTGGTGTCATCTGCAAACCTGCTGAGTGTGCCCTCAATCCCATTTACCTATGTCAGCGACGAAGATATTAAATAGTATGGGTCCCAGTATGGACCCTTGGGGGACATGACTGAAGATGAACTCCATCCAGGTTCCAACAAAATTCCACTGCTTGGGATCATTACTTCAAATATTTAAACTAAAAGTTTCTTGATCATTTTAATACAGCCTGGTAATTAAAATGGCAAGCTGTGACATTTGATACATTATATGCAATAGGCTTATAAATATCCAAAGATAGGTAGTTAGTTGAAATGTGTTTCACACGAAACTGTAGAGAATTTTATTTTCAGTGAAGCTGCTGGAGTCAGCAATGACTTAGAGCTTAAAACACGGAAATTTTTAAATGTCAGTGTGAAATATTTTCTAATGCTTCTGAGTATAAACTCTTCTTCACAGATTTGAAATGAACAACTATGGGCTTAAATACAAAAGTTCTGGCATTTTTTAAATTTTAAGGTTTGTAACAGTATAACATTCTAAAATTTTAAATATTGAGAATTTTGTTTAGATATTTGTGATCAAAATTTGATATTTTTATGTGCCATGGTGAAAGATTGTCTCTAATATTAATTTTCAACCTAAAGATAATATTTCTGTTTTAAGGTACTCATTGAAATCTGTTTTTTAAATTTTTTTGAAAGTTATATTTTTCTGTGAAGCATTTAAATGTTTCCCTTAGGTCTTATTCAACTCTAATATGAAGATGAACAATTTTTGAATATACTTAGAAATACTTATATTAAATATTGTTATTTCTAGGCAAGGGAAGGACGCACCACAGTTGTAGTAGCTCATCGACTGTCAACAGTCCGAAATGCAGATCTTATAGCTGTGTTCGAAGGTGGAGTTATCACAGAACAAGGGAATCATTTTAAATTGCTTGAGAGAAAGGGAATCTACTACAAACTCGTTAACATGCAGGTACTTTTTTCTCACTAGCTATTGCCTCATTTTCTTTTTTGTATTTCATGCCCATAGTTATTGTATGCTATCAGAAGCAAGGGGAATTCTGCAGCATATTTTGTCAACAGCAAAAAAATATGTACTTTGAAAGGAGAGCAGTAATTTGAGAGAGAAGACCAGTAGTTTCGATACCAGACCTATTTAAACACAGGATAGTACATTTTTAATCCTCTAGGGATTTAAACTTAAAAGATTATTTTATGTTTTCCTTTTTTGCAGTTAATGTAGAGCAGCTGATTACAGTAGTTTGCTATTCCATTGCTTGTTCTTAGCCTATGATAAAAGGTAAAATACAGTAGCTGATACTGGAAGAATAGAGCATGCATATTTTAAGCTGTTTAGTTATAATCCTTCATACTGAATTTCTTTCTAAAGAAAAAAAATTGTGGAAGAATAGGAGAAAAAGAAAAATAATCCAGATATGCTGAGTGCAAAAATATGTACACTTTTAAAGTTATGTAGCCAGAAATAAAGAGATTGGAAATTAATATAAATATCAGAATTGTATTAGTTTTAGAACAAAATACTTTGGTACATCGCAATGTTCCATGCAATAGTTAGGTTATAGCTGAGCTTCACTGTAGCCTTCTGTGTCACTGGTTTACTGCATAACCACCACGCCCATTAAAGAAACTGAAACTGCTATCTCAGTATGTCAGACTGAAAAGAGTAAACTAGGCCAATTAAAACATTTCTTCATAAAGTAACTATGAGAATATATTTGGTCACCTTATATTCAAAGTAACTTTGTATTCAAGCAAATGTGGTAATGGGAAAAATTAGGAAATATAAAATGGAAAGAAAATAAAAAATAATGGAAAATAAAAAATGGAAAGAAAGCAAAAAAAGTTCTTTTTATTAATAGCACAAAAAGCAGTAAGAAATAAAAACTTTCTGGAAAAAAAGAAATACAAGTTGAAGGCAACTTTGAATCCAGTTACTATTAAATATCTCAGTGGTGGGTAGACATGTATTTATTTTGTCAAAGAGACTGGCAAAACTACCACCAAAAATAGGGCTCTTTTCCAGATTGTTCAGATTTTTCAGTCAAAATCTCTTTTTGACCTGTTCCATCCTGAACTTCCTTATTACATTTAAGGTCAAGGATTGTTAAATGTTCTGCAGTGAAGAGGGTTCATGAATAAATGGTGTATCCACTGAAAACTCGCTCAAAAAGATCCCAAGATGAGTACAAATGGTTTACAGTCAATTTAAAACTGTTAGGAGTTAATTCATAAAAAAAGAGCAGCTACTTGCACTCTCCTGCCCTCCACTTAGTATAAATATTTTCTTGAGAGGTGGGATACTCTTATATATGAATCAAGTTCTGAAGATAGAGATCTACTTAAACATAATACAGATTTTCATATCTGCTTTATAACATTATGTATTGTTTTCCCCATATCTCTTTCCACGGAAACAATCAAAGTTACTTTTACTTTGATCACCTCATAATTTTGAAAGTTCAAAGTAATATATGCATAGTTAATCTTAGCATCATGTTCTTCCCTCTTTTAGGCAATAGAAGCTGAAGTTCCATCATCACAACAAGATGAGAATGCACTTAGTGTCAAAAAAAGTGAATCTGAACCAGAATTTGAAGAATCCTTAACAAAAGGATTGAGAAGACGATCAACTCAGAGAAGCATGAAAAAGCCAGGAGCACAAAATGATGATCCTGATGAAAAAACTGGTTCACCTGTAAGTAACTTTGCAGAGCTGTTAGTGAACTTTGATTCCTTTCAACAAAGTATGTTAAAATTAAAATCACTCTCCTGCTCTAGAAAGGTACAAGAATAAGGAGGCATTTGATAGAGGTGAAAAAGACATGAGAACTTTCTAATTCTAAATAACCTTTGCCTGATAATATTCACAATTTGTTTTGTTATTCTCACCGTGAATGATTACACAAATAAAATGGGACTTTAAAAGTCTATAACAAGGATGAGTTTATTCCTGAAAATCAATTTGCTCTAAAAGAAATATACTTACATATATTTGCATACCATACCAACATAGTCTATACAAGTTAAACATTCATTTTTGGATCAGAAACAAAATATTTGGCCCAACATACAACTCTTAGAAGAAATCTTACAACAAAACCATACAACAAATAGGATTGCATTCATATTTGCAGCAAATACTTTGCCGTTATAAATTGCTTAACGAACAATTACTTGAATTAATCCAGTCATGGATTACACACAACAATATGCCCAGAATTAATAGTTCAGTCACCATTGACTAATACCAAGAGTATTGATCAATGAAAATGATATAGATAAACTAAAATATGACAAGAGCTGTAGATATATTCTAACAGCTCTTTCTTCCTTGTATTAAAATTATAAAAAGAAATGTACAATCAGTTAATTATTCACATTATTAAAAACTATACATTTTGACTTCCCCTTGGGTAGATTCTGGGAGTAGGAAATTGACTATTAATCTCTCTTTTTACATACATGTTTGTCCTAACAGAATTCCCATTTTTTAGGATGAAGAATTACCTCCAGCTTCATTTCTGAAAATTATGAAGTTGAACAAAACTGAATGGCCAAACTTTGTAGTTGGAACTTTATGTGCAATTATCAATGGAGCTTTACAACCTGCATTTGCAATCATATTTTCAGAAATTATAGGGGTAAGTTTGAATAAAATGCAAAAAACTACAAAGCCCACAAAATTGTTTTCTAATGAAACCAGGTCTTAAAAAATCACTGCATAATGAAGCTGAGGAGTGGATGAAGCACTATTACAAAAATCTGAAGAATTACATGAGATTTACAAAATCCTAAAAATCTTGCTACAACCTGAAATTTGCTTGTTATACCTATAATCATATGTAACATATGCTCAAATTTTATATGAATGCAAATGACTACCAAACATAGTTATTGAGAAATATGGGAGTATTTCAGATTATCAGTTGATTAAAAAAATGTTGTTTTAAATATTATTTTATAGATTTTTTCAGAAACTGACGAGACCATTTTGAGAGAAAAGAGCAACTTATATTCAGTGCTGTTTTTAGTACTTGGGATCATTTCCTTTTTTACTTTCTTTTTTCAGGTATGTTTTATTATTTTAGCTTTATTATAATTGTTCATCATGTTTTAGAAACCAGATCTGAAATATACTAAACATTTGTATCTTCTTAATACAGGTCTCCAACTCAAACATTTGTGCATTTGTGGTTCTAGATGTGCCTTGTGCTGCACTGAATCTTCTTTGACCTAGAGCTTCTTATGTGTTAGAGACCTTCCAACCAATTCTGACCTCTTAATTTCAGAACTCCCCTCTTCTTCAGCAGTCAAACACATCTCAGCATGAAACTCTGGATTCTCTCACTCTTTTTTCCATTGCCACCTAACGGCCAAACCCTCCAGCCTTTACATTATACCACTCCCTTCTCACCCTCAAGCCCTCCTATTTGAATCTTAGTGATTGCAAATCTACCAATCTCCTGCCTTAGCTCTCCAATTTTTCACTCCCTAACCCTTTCCCCATTCAAGTCTTGTCTTACGTGAGCCCCCCAAAGATTCCCAGGCCCAGTTCCTCAAGTAACACTCATCATGCTGATATTCAGCTCCTCCTGCTTAAATACTAATGGTTGAACAGTAATATCCCATCTCCTGCTCTCACTGATTTCTATAGCCATCTCAACTTTTACCAAAAAATTATTTTAACTTTACCCTAATTCTTATATGTATCTGACTGCTACAACAGTGCCACAGTAAAAAAAAAAAAAAAAAGGTAGTAATCATGCAGGTGCAAACTTCAGCATTTAAATATTTTCATATATAGTCTGGTTTATAATTTCTGAATATGTTTGTATAGTTTTATCCATTAAATGAGCCTACACAGTGAAATAATAAAGTGCACTTGGGACAGCAGCATAAACAGTCTCTTGCAAAAACCTCCTTGTTTATTTACGGAATTGTCTTGTTGCACATGCAAGCAAGGAGGCCTTGAGTATAGAAGACTGAGTTGTAGATGGCTATGACAGGTTTGCTCAATTTATAAATGTTCAGAGAATGTTTTAAATATGAGCAGGAAGAGTTCTTTGAGATGTAACACCCCCAAATTAGTGAGAATGAAAAAAATTTAAAGCGTTCTTATAATCTCTTTATATAGTGCCTGTTCTCTGATGTTCTTTTGTGATTTTTTTTCCAAGTCACATATTTATGCAAATTTACCGACAGTACAGGAGCACAGCAAAGATAATGATCAAAGTTAACTGAGAAATATTTGCTGATTGGAATATGCCATAATAATTTTTCTTAGTATCACATAGTACAGTTTTATCTTTGGTTTGTATTTAAGAGTATTCAATTTCACATATGTACATTCCAAACAATTAATATTTGTAATCACATAAAGGTGGTAGTGACCTAAACAAAGCTAATTACAAACACTGATGTCATACTAAAATGCAGGAAGAGTGTCTCTTCCCAAAATTTTAACCAGCATTTTCCTTTTTCTATCTTGTTAAATTGATTCATATATCTGGCTAAAAATATGTTCAATTCTTTATAAAACATCACTTATGTATAACTGCTGATAGCTATGTCAGTTTGTGTTAGGATCCCAGGGAAGAAATCTTAATTCCATTGGAGTCAATGGGAAATTTGCGTTAGACTTCAATGAACCCAGATTACCTTATGAAGTCTTTAATCTAAAACGATTGGCCTGAAAGCCACTTCTTTAGATCTGACTTAGGTCAACTCAGATAAAAATGAAGTCCAAGGGTTTATTAGCGATCTTTTCCTTGAAGCATGCTGGTGATGCAGTGCTGGGAAATATTGCTATGCTCTCTATATTTTCCTGAGAAATAATATTTGAATGTCTGTACTGTGAACCTACTAGAATTTATGAATATTAAACCTGTTTTTACATCTGCTTTGTGCAATCAGGACTGCAATATTTTGTACTTTGTGCATTGACATTGTAGAGAAAATGTATCTAAAATACTTATTGAATAAACATAAAAAGTGTAATAGTGTGCTAAACATTGTACCTTTTCTCAAATAGGGTTTCACATTTGGCAAAGCAGGAGAAATTCTTACAATGAGGCTTCGACTCATGGCATTTAAAGCAATACTTAGACAGGTAAAGATAATAAATATTTTGATTTCCAGGGTTTTAAAAATAATCAATTGTATAGATATCATAAGATAACTGTATTCTACATTATTCTATCATACTATGACTTGTCTACAGAGAAGATTCTTTAAATCAGTCTAGAAACCAATTTGGTTAGTTACATGTGGTTAAGCAAAGTATCCTTAGAGGGACAGTCTTAAACCAATACAAATACAAGAGCTTTTTATGTACTCCTTGCAAGGACTTAGATTTACAGCCAAATTACTATAGCCTGACAAGTTGATGTGCGCCAGCGGTATCCCATTACGTGCTCATTTGCCTGCTTTGTTTTCTTTGTGCCCTTTCTCCCCTAAAGGAATGCAATGCAATGCAATGCAGCTTACATTGTAACTCTTACTTCGAATGTCTGATTTAAATTGTAGTATGTACAGATATGTTTTTATTTATTTATTGAATGTCTGTTTCAAAGAGTTCCCAAATCTATAATTGTTTTTCGTTAGTACAATAGTGAGATTGTAGCATTAAATCTAAAGCCACTTTCAGAGAATTAAAATATAAATATTTCATACGGTGTTTAATTAATTCATGTAGTTATCTAAATTGGCCTTAATCTTGTATGATTTCAGGATCAGTATTTTAGATTTTCAAATATACAATATAATATTTCTGGGGTTTTATGTCTTGCACATAAAGCTACATGTAGACACAGAATTTGATTAATGTGAACATGACTATTTGCAATGGGGACAGAAAACTGTTGTAGTCTGAAAAACTAGGATTTATAGATCAGCCTCACTAAAAACCTAATGAAAGAGCAATCTTACAATTGAGTTTTGAGGTCAAAAATGCCTGTACTACACCACCAGTCTTCATTCAATGCATATTACACATGAAAGTTTAAATCAGATATTTGGTCATATGGTGAATAAATTATAAACTGTGTACCTGACCCCAACAGTTTACTTTGATCAGATAGTGCAGTTTGTTTTGGGGTATTTTTTGTCTCATAGCTTCCAAATAAGCCTTTTCAATCTGGGGAGAAACAAAGCAATGAATCGGGAGTTTTTACCTTGAAAATGCTTTACACTTAATTCGTCCCCAAACAGCTTTGCAATTGTGAAGAAGTGTGACTGAAGAGTCATCTCCTCCAAGGAGATGCAGATTCAGCAGTGGTGAGGGACGGTAGATTTTGGTTTTGGGAATGCCCCAGGCTCCTCTCCTTCCTTCTCAGCAGTGACAGAGTACACATCAGATCATCCACAAACATACACTTTTTTCTAAAAATATTCATTGTGCAATGAAGGAATTAGACTTAATTAAATATGCAGAACTGATGCACTGCCACATAGACAGTCTTCTGACGCTGAACTCAATTATATAAGGTAGACCTCAGTTTCACTTTCGGGTAACATGAAATGTCCAAAGACCGGTCCTAAGAAAAATGTTTCTTATTGTAGGACATGGGCTGGTTTGATAATTCTAAAAATAGCACTGGAGCATTAACTACAAGACTTGCTAATGATGCCTCACAAGTGAAAGGAGTAAGTAAAATTTTGTTTTGGAATTTTTCATATTTGGTTTAGTATGTAGTAAAGTTGCAGGTTGGATTTGACTGGTTGGATAGCAGTCTTGACTTTGACAACTAAAATTTACTATAAAACGATAGCTGGTATAGAATGCACTGATGTGTTTTGTAACAATGATGGTAATATATGTTTACAAAATAATTTCCAAATAAATCTTTTTAAAGTTTACTACTGTGCTGTATTGTGATTTTCATTATTAAACAAATTCATTGGGAATCTCTTTATCTAAGTCGTCTGTTTAGAGATATCTTATTTACCTGAAGATATGCATCTAAATTTGTTCAGTTTATGACCTTCTACTATTTTTTTGATCGTACAGATTCCTTATATGAAAAAAATTAGACATAGTAGCAACAGACTTCCTTTTCCTTGTTACTTCTTGGAGATTCTTTAGAAGTAATTTGTGGACTTTCAGGGGTCTGTAATATTAGGCTAAAGAGCACTGAATGAGATTATTCATGTATGCTTAAGTAAATTTTTACTGCTACACGAAGTTATGTGCTTTTTCTCTGAATTGAGGAATTCTGGAGTGTCTTTGGCTTTATAAGTTAAACATTTAATTTTCTTCTTCACTGGGCTCCATGTGATGACTTATAAAGCTAGCTGCATGATCTACAAAATGTGACAGATTTTAATGTTTAGCTGTAAAAGTAAATATGTGATATGCTTAAAGTCTGTTCAGCTTCAAGAGCAGAATTTAGAAATTGCAGTGCAAATTTAAGTAATCAGAATATGGGAAGAGAAGAATTAAATGTGATCTAGATAATTTTTTACAAAATCATTTCAGAAAAATTTTGAAAAATAGCAGAACTGAGTTAAGACTTTCTAAATAGTATTTTGAGAATCAGCAATATTATAGGTGAAAATGCTTTCCTTATTTAAGATGCAGTTACTTTAGCAAGAAATGTCCTTTTTCTTCCTCCAGGCAACCGGTGTCAGACTGGCATTAATTGCCCAAAACATAGCTAACCTGGGGACTGGAATTATTATATCATTAATTTATGGCTGGCAGCTGACCTTGCTACTTTTAGCTGTTGTGCCAATCGTTGCAGTGGCAGGAATGATTGAAATGAAGATGTTGGCTGGGCATGCAAAAAAAGATAAAGAAGAGCTGGAAGCTGCAGGAAAGGTGGGTCTAGAGAATTTTATCTATTTCTATGTAATACATAAAGTCATGTTTACCAAAGCATTGTTGATGGATGTATTACTTCCAAATACAGAACGTATCATAATATTTAACTTCCAGAGACAGCCGGACTTTATGTAGTTACACTAGTAGACCTACAGAGCATAACACCTCTTCAATAATAATTGAAGACTTATGTTATTATCCGATATTTATTTTTATAATTGATAAACCCCAGCATGTGCTAAGCACTATTCAGGCACATTCTTTTCTCTTTCTCTTTCTCTATTTTCCTTATTTTGCAACTCTCTTCATTTTGACATTTGCTCTTTTCTTTCCTGTCATCCCTTTTTGGCATGTCATGTCTTACATATATTATACTGCTCTTTTTTTTTCTCTTTCATCTTATTGATGTTTGCAGGGATAATATGTATATATCCACTGGTTTCTGAGTCTGTTTGCCATTCCTTTATTTCTTGAGTGGAAGAGAAAGATGAGAATTGAAAAGCAAGAAGGCTAGACTCTTGTTTAAGAAATTAGATGAAGGCATTTAATGTCACTTCATTCCAAAAATCCTTTTGGGACAGAACAACTATTTCATCATTTCCCAGATACTCTTTCTTCAAGGTAAAACTTTTCTAAAATCCCTTCCTATATCCTATGTTTTTAAAAGTTGAGAAGAAAATCATTTATCTAAGCCCATGCACATAAAGTATTAATCTTCAGATCTGGCGTTCAAATGCATGTGTCTGCATATGTGCTGGCAGTCTAATGTCCCCTTATAATTATTGGAGATGCCATAGTGTCTGGGTGGCCTCCAGCTGCCATATTAGAAGGGTATGGGTCTACTCTATGTTCTATGTCGTATCTGCCGTGCCTTTCCCAAATGTTTTGAGTATCCTAAAGCATCTCCAATGGCACAAGCCACCTGCATGTGGGCAACTGAATTAGAGTCCTTCCCACTCCAGTCAACGATCCTGGAGGAAGAGACTAGGCAGGCACATAGTGCCTAGGCAGCTGAATTCCTTTCTATTCTGTTGAATAGGTATCCATTGACTACTACACTGGTTGCTTAGACACCTAAATTCAGGTGTCTTAATCTGGATCTGAACCCTCCTCGAGTAACTCCTATTTACTAAATGGGTTTTATTTCCTTCCGTCATGTCTGTAGATAAACTTGCTAAAAAACATTTTTGTCCCTCCAAGTCCATAGGAAATTCTGCATAATGATCTTTCCATGGGCTTTTTCATATAAGCCAAAGGATGCATTTCCTTTCCTTTCAACTGACTACATTTCTTCTGCTTCTTCTTTCTAATGGCTGAACATTTATTTCATATTGTTTTGTTGTAAGATATGACAGAAAAAAGATGACAATTCTTGGAATAGGCACTAGAGACTTTCTTAATGCAGCAGATTGTGAAGAATTAGCAAAGGTATTACAAAAATTTATGATTTTTTTGCAAAGCTTGAGAAAATACTTTCTTTTCTTAGCAATGTATGAGTTTCCCCTCTGAAGGGCACGTAAGCAAACACTAGACTACAGGCATTTTATTCAATTACCAATTTTTTTAAAATCAGTTTTCTTCAGTGAAAATGGGGTTCTACCTGGAAAATTTGCTTTCTGCAGAGGGTTGCTGAACTTACATTACTAATGAAAAAAAAGACTTCCTTTGAGTATTGGTGAGACAATATAACTACGAAGAATAAAATCTATTTCATTTCTTCGTTATCATTAACACTGTATTACGTTCAAATCAATGAGTCAATTATGTGCAAATTTTCGAACAGTGGCACAAGCATTACTGAGGCTATAAGATAATTATATCTCTATATTTTAGAACAAAGATAACAGTGCCACAGTTTAAAAATCTTTGGTAACAGTTCATGAAGAAAAATTCTTTCAGGTCTGTGGTTTAATTTAGATGAAAGTAGTGGGGTATGGAGGTTATTTGTTTTTTTATTTTAAACTGTAGACTTTTGAACTGTATGGTGAATGGCCATAACTCTGGTGTCCTATAAGACATAATATACAGGATCACTTTTCAGAATAGAACTTCATTCTGTTCATAGAATCAGAGTCATAGAATATCTCATGTTGGAAGGGACCCATAAGGATCACCGAGTCCAACTCCCTGCTCCTCACAGGACTACCTAAAACTAAACTATATGACTAAGAGTGTCATCCAGACGCTCCTTTAACTCTGACAGGCTTGGTGTCATGACCACTTCCCTGGGGAGCCTGTTCCAGTGACCGACCACCCTCTCAGTGAAGAACCTTTTCCTAATGTCCAGTGTGAACTTCCCCTGATGCAGCTTCATACCATTTCCTTGTGTCCTGTCACTGGTCACCAGAGAGAGGAGATCAGCACCTCCCCCTTCCACTGCCCACCTTGAGGAAGGTGTAGACTGCGATGAGGGCACCCCTCAGCCTTCTCTTCTCTGAGTGAACAAACCAAGTGACCTCAGCCACTCCTTTTAAGTCCTGTCCTTGAGACCTTTCACCATGTTGGTCGCCCTCCTCTGGACACACTCTAATAGTTTGATGTCCTTATATTGTGGCGCCCAAAACTGCACTCAGTACTCAAGGTGGGCCCGCACCATTGCAGTGTAGAGTGGGACAATCACCTCCCTTGACCACCTAGCTATGCTGTGCTTGATGCACCCCAGGATGGCCTTTTGGCTGCCAGGGCACACTGTTGACTCATATTCAACTTGCCATCAACCCAAACCTCCAGATCTCTTTCTGTGGGGCTGCTCTCCAGTCTCTCATCCCCTAATTTGTGTGTATAACCAAGATTACCCTGTCCCAGGTGCAGAATCCAGCACTTGCTC